CGGGGGACTCGGGGAGTGGGTGTGCGGGGGACTCGGGGAGTGGGTGTGCGGGGGACTCGGGGAGTGGGTGTGCGGGGACTCGGGAGTGGGTGTGCGGGGGACTCGGGGAGTGGGTGTGCGGGGGACTCGGGGAGTGGGTGTGCGGGGGACTCGGGGAGTGGGTGTGCGGGGGACTCGGGGAGTGGGTGTGCGGGGGACTCGGGGAGTGGGTGTGCGGGGGACTCGGGGAGTGGGTGTGCGGGGGACTCGGGGAGTGGGTGTGCGGGGGACTCGGGGAGTGGGTGTGCGGGGGACTCGGGAGTGGGTGTGCGGGGGACTCGGGGAGTGGGTGTGCGGGGGACTCGGGGAGTGGGTGTGCGGGGGACTCGGGGAGTGGGTGTGCGGGGGACTCGGGGAGTGGGTGTGCGGGGGACTCGGGGAGTGGGTGTGCGGGGGACTCCGGGAGTGGGTGTGCAGGGGACTCGGGGAGTGGGGTAGTGGGTGTGCGGGGGACTCGGGGAGTGGGGTAGTGGGTGTGTGGGGGATTGAGGGAGTGCGGGTGTGGAGAAGTGGGGGAGTGCAGGTGTGGGGGAGGGTGTGTGTGGGAGCGTCAGAGTGGTTGTCGCGGAGGGGTTGGGAGTGTCAGAGTGGGTGGTGTTGTCATGGAGGAGTTGGAGGTGTCGCGAAGGTGATGGTGGTGTCGCGGATGGTGTTGGGGCTTTGTTACGGAGGTTGAAGGGATGTATGGCAGAGGTGTGTGAGGCTGTGGCAGAGGGGTTTTGGGGTTCTAGCGGAAGGGAGTGTGGTGGCTTGGCAGGAGGGCTTGTGGATGTCGTGTGGGTAGTTGGCAATGAGGGTGTGTGGTTATGGTGGAAGGAGTGTGGGTGTGTGGTGGAGGGGTTGTAGTGGTGTGAGGAGGGGATGTGGGGAGAGGGTGTGGGTGCGGTGGAGGGAGTTTGGGGGTGTGGTGGATGGGGCTGTGGTAGTGTGACGAAGAGGGTGGCGGAGGTTGTTGGAGGAGTGGGGGATTGGTGGAGGGGGTTTGGAGGGGTGGAGGTGGTGCGGGAGTGTGGGGTGGTGGGGCTGTGGCAGAGGGTTTCTGGGGATATGGCGGAAGGGGTGTGGGTTGTGGGGGTGTGGATTGTGGGGGAGGGTGTGTGGTGAAGTGGGGTTATGGGGGAGTGGGGGTGTGGAGTAGTGGGGGTGTGGGTCTATGCGGGATGGAGTGTGGCGGTGCGGCAGAGGGGGTGCAAGGGTGTGGCGGATGGGTTGTGGGTGTGTGGCGGATGGGGTGCAAGGGTGTGGCAGAGGGGTTGTGAGGGGGAGGGGCTATGGGGATATGGGGGAGGGGGGTTGGGAGTGCGATAGAGGGGGTTTGGGAGTGTGGGGGAGTGGATGTGGGAGGGGGGTTGTGGGGGGAGGGGCTGTGGGGATATGGGGAGGGGGTTTGGGAGTGTGGGGGAGGGGTGTGGGGGTGGGGGTTGGGGGTGTGGGGGAGGGGTGTGGGGGGTGACATATTGGATGTGGGGGGCTGGCGGGAGTGCTGTGGGGTTGGTGGAGGGGCTGTGGCAGTGAGGCTGTCGGTGGCTGGGGGTGTGGGGTTTTGGCGGTGGGGGATTGGGAATGTGGCGGAGGGATGTTGGGATATGGCGGAGGGGATTGTGGCGAAAGGGGTTGTGGTGGAGATAGGGTGAGGATGTTGTGGAGAGGGTGTGGCGGAGATGGTGTGGGGAGGATATGTGTGGGTGTGGTGAATGCAGCATGCTGGAGGGGGTCTGTAGCACAGGCTAGGTCTAGTGTCATGGAAGTGGTGTGGCAGAGGGGATGTGGGGTTGTAGCGGAGGGCGTGTGGCGGAGGGTGTGAGGGGGTGTGGCGGAAGTGGTATGGGGCTGTAGCTGGGGAGGTGTGGGTGTGTGACAGAAGGGGTGTGGGCATATGGCGGAGGGGGATGGGGCGGAGGGTGTGTGGGTGTATGGGGGATGGAGGGGATGTTGGGGGTTGGTGTGGGGAGAGGATGTGAGGGAGAGTGTGTGGAGGAGTGGGTGTGTGGGGATATGGGGGAGTGGGTGTGGGCGAATGAGGGTGTGAGAGGTGGGGACTTAGGAAGTGGGGATGTGGGGGTTGGGGAACTGGGCTGCGGAGGAGTGGGGGTGGGGGGGTTGGGGAGTGGGGCTGACGGGGAGTGGGGGCTGAGGGGGAGTGGGGGCTGAGGGGGGAGTGGGGGCTGTTGGAGGGGGTGTTGGGAGTGGGGGCTGTTGGGGGAGTGGGGGCTGTTGGGGAGTGGGGGCTGTTGGGGAGTGGGCTGTTGGGGGGCAGTGGGGTGTTGGGGGCAGTGGGGTGTTGGGGGGCAGTGGGGGGTGTGGGGCAGTGGGGGGTGGGGGCAGTGGGGGTGTGGGGCAGTGGGGGGTGTGGGGCAGTGGGGGGTGTGGGGGGTGTGGGGCAGTGGGGGTGTGGGGCAGTGGGGGGTGTGGGGCAGTGGGGGTGTGGGGCAGTGGGGGGTGTGGGGCAGTGGGGGTGTGGGGAGGTGGTTTGTGGAGGAGGAGGTGTGGTGGAATGGGGCTGTGGGGGAGTGGATGTGTGGCGCAGGGTTTGTTGGGATGTGGCCCGGGGGTGTGGAGTTTTGGAAGTATGTGGGAGTGGGTGTGTGCGAATGGGAGTGTGGGGGAGGGCGTATGGGGGAGTTGGGTTGTGGGGCAGTGGGTGTGGGATGTGTGTGAGTGGGGTAGGGTGTGCTAGGCAGGAGATGGGGCATAGGGAGTTGGGCGGGGGATGTTGGGATATCGCGGAGTGGATGGGGGTGTTGCGGAGGGCGGTGGAGGTGTCACGGAGGGGGGGCTGAGGGTTTGTGGCAGAAGGGAAGTAGGTGTGTCATGGAGAGGTTGTGGAGGTGTGGCGGAGGGGGTCTGGAAGAAGGGATGTGGTGGTGTGGTGCAGGTGGTGTGGTTGTGGGGGTGTGGCGGAGGGGGTAGGGGTGCGTCGGAGCTACGGTGGGGTTGTATCAGAGGGGGTGTAGGCGAGCAGGGATGTGGGCGTGTGGTAGATTGGGGGTTGGTGTGGTGGATTGGGGTGGGTGTGTGGCGAAGGGGGCTAGGGTTGTGTCGGAGGGGATTGGGGTTGCAGAGGAGTGGGGCTGGAGGAGTTTAGGAGGGAGGGTGGAGGAGGAACTGTGGCAGAGGTGGTGTATGCGTGTGGTGGAGGTGTTATGGGTTTGTAGGGTATGGGGGAGGGTTGTGGGCAAGTGGGGGTGTGGGGAAGGGCATGCTGTGGAGGAGAGTGTGGGAGAGTGGGGGTGTGGATGAGTGGGAGTGTGGGGGTTCATGTGGGTGAATGGGGGTTGTGGAGATGTGGCACAGGCGGTGCGGCAGCGGAGCTGTGGTGGCGATGTGGGTGTGGCAGAAGGGCTGTGGGGCAGGGACGGTGTGGACGAGAAGGGTATTGGGGGAGTGGCGCGCAGGCTGTGGCGCAGTGTGTGTGGGGGTGTGGCAGAGGGGGCATGGGTTTGTGGTGGAGGTGGGGTGGGGTTGTGGGGGAGGGGATTCAGGGTGTGGTGGGTGGGAGGGGACGTGGGGGGGAAGGGGTGTGGCAGGGGGTGTGGTGGTGTTGCGGAGTGGGGGTGGGCGTAGCGTAATGTGAGTACACTCACCTCTGACAATGCGCTCCCCATCTAATTCCTTCGACTGTGCCTTCGGTCAACCTCGCACCCCCACACCCCTACTCTCCACCCCTTTTGATTCCAACCCGAGCTCGGGCGCAAACCCTTCACTGTCCTGTGCCTTGGGTCATCCTCCCGACATGAAATGCACTTTGTTGTTCCCATTTTGCAGTGTCAGCGTGGGTTCCAAATCCCAATCAACAAAATTACATTTGCACTTTCACATCGGGAGGACATCCCAAACAGCTGAACAGTCAGCTGTCAGGGCCCAAGCACAGGGGAGGGGTGGTGTAGGGGTGAGGGAAGGCAGAGAGGTGGGTGACCATAGGCACGATCGAAGAGAAGGGTCTTGAGACCGGCCTTAAAGGAGGCAAGGGAGGAAGCGAGGCGAAGGGACCGTGGGATGAGTTCCAGAGTGTAGGGACAGAGAGGCTGAAAGCCCAGCCACCAATGGTAGGGGGGTTCGAGCGGGAGACATGGAGCAGGCCGGAGCGCGCTGAGCGGAGGGAGCGGGCAGGTTGGTAGGGAGTCAGCAGGTCAGAGAGGTAGGAGGGGGCAAGGCCATGGATGGCCTTGAAAGTGAGGACGAGGATCTTGAACTCAATCCTCTGGGGGATGGGGAGCCAGTGGCGTCGGGCGAGGGTGGGTGCCTGGTGCGTGTTTTGAATGATCTGCAGCTTGTGAAGGGAACAGTTGGGAAGGTCAATGAGGAGGGAGTTTCCATAATCCAGCCTTGATGTGACAAATGCGTGGGTGAGGCTTTCGGCAGCCTGAAGGCTGAAGGCAGTGGATGAGAACCACAGGAAATGACAGGAGGTTCTGAAACTAGGCAGTGGTCAGAAGGGAAGAGGTTTCTGAGTTTTGTTTCAGAAAGCCTGGTGCTGTTTTTACTTCTCATCACAGTCTCTGAGGCGGACAATTTTCTTGACAGACCACACCACTGCTTACAGGAAGCTGATTGCTCTGTTTCCTGTCCATCATGGGAAGGTATACATTGAACTTAACACCAATAGAAACTGGATAATAATCCTTGAATTTGATATAGCACCTTATCACGCCATTGAGACATCTCGAAGAGCTTCACAGAATATCCTGTAAAGTGAATTGACTGTATATTCCTCATCATTCAGTTTCCCTCCAGACTCACATACAAAATACACTCACTTTACAGTACTATGAAGCATTATGAAATGTCATGACGTGAACAGTTATATTAAATGCAAGCATCGTTATTCTTTCTCATTCCTACCATCATATGGAACAAAGCCAAGAAGCCAGCCGTGCACACACAACACCCAAAATAGACACAAACTTAAAATGAGCATGCATGTAGACCATTTGAAACAGATTCCAGAGACGATGACAAGCTAGGAATGAAAGGACTTTATTTTCAAAATAGAAATGTATTCATTCAGTCATTCGGAATCAAGAACAAACTAACAGCAGGTCCGTGCTGATGTAAATACAAGATCAATCTTAAAATCATCGGATAATAGTAAAGCCAGCAGGCTAGTCGGTTACCTCACTAGCCCCCTCCAGCAGGTCAGGAAGTTGCATACAAGCCCCCCCCACCCCATCCAGCAGGTGATCACCCCACCCCACCCCTGCCCCAAGCTCCCTCCAGCAGTGCAGTTTCACATGCTTCTTCGTTACCTTGGTCTCATCAGTTGACAGTAAGTTCACTCAGCATCAGAACTGTAAAGGAAAAGACAGTGATCAGAAACCCTGACAAGGAAAGGCCCCTGGACTCTTTGCAGGTCAAACACAACTATTGTATTTATAGCAGCGGACGTGCGGGAGATCTGATCACAAGATCAGACAGATTCAGGTGAAGAGACCCTTCGACCAATTCAATCGTTGGCTTCAATCAGCTTTCCAATTCAGTTCTTGATTTCTCTGTGGGAAAACTGCTTCCTAATGCCTTCATAAGCTCGTCTCCCATACCCTAGAAGTTTCACCCTCCTGCCCTGCTGCCTTGGTGCATATGAAAGTTATGCAGAGTTTACCTTCTTGTTTTGGTCAGTTCTGACACATACCCAGCACCATGCCTAAGAGTATCTTAGGCTTCCCACCGACACATGGAAATTCCTGTGTAATGGAATGTCACCCCCTGGAGGGACGTACACTGCAGCTGCTCACACAGATTGATATCTGAATTATGAAACCTGGAGTCCAGACCCATGACAGAAAGAGATCCTCAATACAAGAACCAAACCTGCGAGTGCCAGTCCCTGCCTACTCCACAGGACTGCTTCGGATCAAGGGAGTTGAGCTACTTTGTTTTTTTTTTGGATCTGACACGTGCAGAAATCCATCACTATGCTCAAGAGTATCCAAACAGACTGAAAGTTCCATGTATGTCACCTACATACAGAAATTTCCCTGTGCCTGGAATGAAATGTGTACTCTCCCTGAAGGGACGCACTCTACTTACCTAATTCCAGAGAGTATTAGGCACAGGTTGGCAAGAGCCAAGGCTTCGAGACCCCAGAGTGTGCATTAGGGTAACTGCCTAAGTCTAACCAGCTAAAACCGCATAACTTGTCGGTTTACTTTCTCTGCTTCATTGAGTATCTGTGAGGTTTCAGATCAGGATAAGTGTAGGACCCCACTGCCAATCAGCAACAGGAACTTCCCCAGAGATTTATTAATAGCCCTATGTGAGGTGGAGTCTCACAACGAGCCAGGAAGCCAGAAAGAAGGTGACCGCAAGCACAATCAAAAAGGCAAGGCTATGTGGAGTCCCCAAGTCTTAGCTCTTGATAACCTGTGCCTAATACTGAATTAGATGAGCAGGATGTCCCTCTAGAGAGTGTGCATTTCATTCCAACAATCTATCTCTGGCATTTCCACTTGCAGGTGGGATGCATGGAATTCTCAGTTTGATTTAGATACCCTTAATTAAGCATGGTGATGAGCTTCCTCGTCTGTCAGACACCCAACTGACCCACCCCCCAAAAAAAATCATACAGTGGCACAGCACAAGGCTGTAGCCATCAGTATATGAACACAGAAAATTATCCTCAGCAAGGGGAAGTCAAACAGGTTTGAGGAAGTCCTCTACCACAAATGAAAAAAAAGCTCCAATAACCGTCACAAAATGTAACCAGAGCAAAGCAACCCAGCCCCCAAACATCTCCAATGCTCTATCAGGTGCAGGAGGCCGGCTGCACTTTGGGCATCTTACGTTTTTGAGAAACTCTTCTGCGACAATGCGAGCTCTGGCGTTGACAGAGAGTTTCATTTCACTGACTTCTTTATCAATCTCCTCCATGAAGTGGATTACAAAGTCGACCAGTTTGTGTTTGTACATTTGCTCGGTGTGGAAGTTGGTGATGAGGAAACTGATGTCATAGCCCTGCCAGAAAGTGGGGGAACAGGAAGCCAGTGGTGAGTGACAAACTGTATATCCCAATATACAATATCATCCTGATCAGCCACACCCCCCCGGCACCCATGCCCCTCACAGGCCTCACCAGGCACTCTGCCTAGTACACAGCAAAAGTAAACGAGTGAAGGGCATGTTCAGGAAGTGATGTCAGTGGTGACCTTACATCTAGGAGTCGGCCATTGTTTAGTGCAGGAAGTGGGAAACAGAACCAGCATTATAAGCGCCCAACATCAGCGGCATTATGCTGGCATTCCGCTGTATTCACTGCAACTTCCCAGTGCATCACACCAGAAAGCACTGCAGTGCTCTGATGCACTTTGTACCTCCTGAATCGATAGAAAACTATGGTGGGAGGCCGGGTGTGGGAGTAGGTAAGGCAAAGCACCGGGGAAGAGGTCGTGGCTCAGGAAGTTATGAGAGTAAATATCAAATGTGAATTGCAGAGGCTCTCATTACCTCAACCGCTTTCCTCCTCAGAATGAAGAAGTTCTCGGCTCTCATCATCATGAACCTCATAAACTTATGGCACAAAATCTTCTCAATCTCGTCTGCCTGCAATTTACAAAAAATATCACAAACAGAGCTGGGAACTTGCCGGTGGCTTGTCAGTATGTGTGGACAAGCATGAGCTACTGAGTGAGCAAGACTTCTGCCAAAAGTGATTAAAGGATAAGAGGGCAGGGTCTTCAATTGTAACTAGCATGGAAGGGAACAATCTCTAAGAGGGTTATCAGAATATGGACGGATTTATCTGGAGTGAATTTACAAGGGAAATAGAGATGAGCATGATTAAAGGAAAGAGTAGGGCATTGGGATTAGGATTCACTGGAGCAAACTCCAGTCATAGGATAGTAGAAATACCCAACACAGCGGAATACTGACCTGCTTGATTGCAATGCTGACTCGCACAGAGTTTATTGAGCCCTCGATCAGAACCTTCTCCTTCTCATTCCTACTGATGATCACAGGCTGTAGGAGCAACTCTTTACTGCTCCTAGTAATGGACAAGGAGGTCAGTTACACAGTAAGCAGAAGGCGTTGCTGCTCCCTCACTGATGAATGTGGGCTAACAATTTCTAGGCTCTCAAGAGCACAAACTTGTGTGTCTGTGCTGTGCTCACTGTCCACACTGTGCACTGAAACTCCACAGCCAGATGCCAGAAGGTCAGGCGGAGTATATTTTGATTCTCACCCCAGCTCAGTCACTCTCTGCTCAGAGTCCTTATGACGAAACCTTGAGCTGCAGGTGTATTTCAGTCTCTGTCACAGCATCTTGACGTACCACCCTCTCTTCCACCTCTGCGTAAAGAATTTTCACCGAACAGAGCTCCCAGGGGCTGGGTGACCAAGACCCTCAGTATTATTCCAGAATACCCTCTATCCAGTCTTTCCACTTCAGTTTCAACCTGTTTCTTCAATGAGCCATAACTTTAACAATTCTCCCTTTGTCTATTCCCTTTCCTAGTGCATTGTCACTGATCACAGACATGACCCACACTCAAATACAATAAAGTCCCAATCCCCCCTCCCCTATGCCATTCTCTCACCTGACCTCCACCTCGGGCTTGTTGTGCCGCTCCACAACCTGTGAGGAGAAATTCTCTAGGCAGAGCGCAGCCTGCAGGGTGGCGCGGACCGCGTTCAGGTAGGGACGCAGTGTGGCTGTCTGCAGGAACAGAAAAAGCAGCAAACATCAGGCATCTTCCTATAAACTCTCATCGGTGAACAGCACACAGAGCTGGTGACTGGACTCTCCCCTCCCTGTAAAGTGCTGAAAGCTCAACCCAGTGGAATCCTCCTTCCTCCAAGGCAATCAATATCCCTCGACCCTGGCCTAACAACATTCCCAGTGTGGTCAATGGCCAGATCATCTCAATCTCCTGCCTGAAGATCAGCAGAGAAACCGGAACAGAAATTAAAACAGCACAAGCCTGATGAGCTGGCCAGAGCAACCCCCCACTCCATAGACAACATCAACCTCTCTCTGTCCACTGGCAGTTCCCACCCCCATCAAAACAAGTGTCATTACCCCTTCCTTAAAAAACCTTCCCTTGACCCATCCCTGTTCCCTAACAACCGTCCAACGTGCCTTTCTTCTCCACGGTACTGGAATTCATTGCTTGAGCTTCGCTTTCCTCTCCCTGCACAAACCCTTCCAATCCAGCTGCCAAACTGCCCACAGTACTGAGACTGCCTTGGTCAAAGTCACCAACAACGTTCTCTCCATCTGTGACCAGGGCTCTCTGCCTCCTCATCCTGACCTCTCTGTTGCCTTCAACACTGTTGACCCATTCTGTCCTTCTCCACCGCCTCTCCTCTCAGCTCCAACTTCACAGTTCTGTCCTTACTTGGTTTCACTCTGACCCTACCCAAAGACTCCACTTCATATCTGCCATTTCTCCTCCCACTGCCGCCCGCACCATGCGGCGTTCCTCAGGTCACTATCCTCGGTCCCATCCTCTTTAATATCTACATGCTCCTACTCGGCGATGTCTCCGCAGGCACAGGTTTAACTTCCACATGTAGGCAGGTGACACCCAACTCTCTCTCTGCCTCAACTCTCAAAGCCAGGACCACTGCTGTCCTAACTAATTGTCTGTCAGACATCAAATCCTGGATGAGAGCTAACTTTCTCTAGTCAAATATTGACAAGACCAAGGCCCTCCTGTTTAGCTCCCGTAAGCGTCTCCATACCTCAGGCACTAACATCAAATTGACTTCAAGATCCTCATGCTTGTGTTCAAATCCCTTCACTCTCTCTGGCACCTCCCTAGTTTTCTGACCGCCTCACTCCACCACCCAGCGCTTCTGCTCAACTGGCACTGGCCTCCTGCTCAGCCCTCACACCCTCTGCCCCACCATTGGAGGTCACGCTTTCAGCCATTAAACCCCGAAACTCTGGAACACTCTCCCTCAATCCCTCCGCTTGCCCCCTCTCTTCCATTTTTCAAGTCCCGCCTGAAAACCTTCCTCTTCGACCGTGCTTATGGCCACCTTCCCCTCCCCCACCCCGGCTCAAAGCCAGGTGCCGCCACTGTTAAGCACTCTGAGATGCTACCCTGCTCTGTGTTGGTCTCTGGGCAAGTTGTTGTTGTTGTTGTACTTAGATGCACATGCCACCTTTAAACCTCACATCAGTGCTTTAACCTGACCAGCTTTCCCACTCCTCCTGTCTCTGCCTCTCCCTCCCTTGGGCTGTTGAGACCCTAATCCACTTCCTTTGTGCTTACACTCAGGCCCGGTCAAAGTGTGCCAAGAGTGTCCTGGTCAAAGTCACCAACAACATTCTCTCCATCTGTGACCAGGGCTCTCTGCCTCCTCGTCCTTGACCTTTTTGCTACCTTTGACACTGTGACCATTCTGAGCTGCTCCACCACCTTTCCTCTCAGCTCCACCTTCACGGTTCTGTCCTTTCCTGGTTTCACTGACCCTTGTCCCAACGACTCCCCTTCATATCTACCACTTCTCCTCCCGACCCGCACTGTACTCACACTCAGTACCCTGAAGCTCTGGCCCACGGGGAGATGAGGCGGCGCCAGAGGCTGCGGAAGAACTTTAAAGGGGATCATCACACTGGGGCCGCCCGCGCTCACCCACCCACACCCACCCACCCACCCCCCACCCCCCACCCATCCACACACCCACCCACACACCCACCCACACACCCATCCACCTACACCCATCCACACACACCCATCCACCCACACACACACCCACCCACACCCCCACACCCACCCACACCCCCACACCCACCCACCCACACACCCACCCACACCCACCCACCCACCACACCACCCACACACACACACACCCATCCACACACCCACCCACACACCCACCCACACACCCACACCCCCATCCACACACAGACAGACAACGCTGGGGACAGGGCCGAGGGTGGCAGGTGGGAAGTCAATCCCGCCCGAGGCCCAGGCCTCAGATACGAGCCTGGGCCCCGCTCATAACTTAGGGCGCGGCTCCTACCATCTCTGTGTCCCGCGCTGCTCTGTGTCGGTCTCTGGGGCGGAAGCGGAAATGAGTGCGCGCGCGCCCGGGTTACAGTGCGCGCCCCCGCCTCCTGCCAGACACCCGCGCGCGCGCGCTCTCGCTGCGGCCTGGGGTTGTGTGTCCGGGTGGAGCCTCTGGTACCGACGATCGCTCGTAATTGAGCGCTGCTTCCCCGCGGTCAGGAGAGCCCGGGCCTGGGGGCGGGCAGGGCAGCCCGGGTCCCCGCCCGCCCGCCCGCCCGCCCGGCCTGAGGCCCCGGGCCCCCACACACACACTGCTGCTCACCACCAGTAATAATCATCTCACATTTCAGATTTATTATATTTTATATATTTTACAATTGGACATTTGACATGTGTCCCCGTAGCCGTGTAGGCCACTGCGCCGCGCAAAACCTCGCTGTCACAACAACAACTTGTATTTAAGAATCCTCTCACGCAGGGTAGCGTCCCAGAGTGCTGTAAAGTGTAGTGACTGTTTTGCTTGCAGACAGATAAGGAGGCGGCACAGGGAGTTTGGGGCTGTGTCTACAGGAACCTGGGTTTACACAGAGTGTTGGCTAACTGCAGGGACGGGATCCCGCTCCGAGCGCAGGACTTGGCACCTGACGCACATCCCAAGAGATCGGACTTCAGGTGGGATTGAAAGTGACAGAGGGGTCAGATGTCCAATCTAAAACTGGAGCTCTCTCCCTCTATCCCTCTGCCTTGTCCATCCTTCCCCATCTTTAGGTCACACCTGAGGAGCTTCCTCTTCAACCTAAGGTCACCTCCCCCCACCTCTGCATTGTGCACCACTACTGTCAAGCATTCTGGCCGCTACCATGTGTGAGGGGCATTCGCTATATAAATGCAAGTTGTTCAAGATCTGGCTTTAGGTGGGATTGAAAGAGCATCTTGTCACTCTGTTTCTTTCAGTCCCACCTAAAGCCACTCATGGGACAAATGGCAATTGCACCACATCTGACCTTTCACCTCTGGTGCTCTTGGCAGGTTTGGGAAGGAAGGATCCAGACTGTAAGAATGAGCGAGCTGAAAGACTGCCCGCTGCAGTTCCATGACTTTAAACCTGTGGATCATGTGAAGATGTGCCCCCGATACGCTGCCGTGCTGTCTCGTTCGGAGGACGATGGGATTGGGATTGAGGAGCTGGACACATTGCAGCTGGAGCTGGAGACACTGCTGTCCTCAGCCAGTCGGAGACTCCGCATCCTGGAGGCAGAGACTCAGGTACAAACTGGCCCTGTTGTCTTAACCACAATAGGTACTTGCAGCAAAGCTACTAACCCACTGCTTGACAACATCTTTTTTTCGTGTATCTTTATATTTGATACAGCACCAATTACAGTGTGGATTTTCTGTCAGGTGTACTGACTATTTGTAGTTGAGGCCAATTTCACACAAGTTACCACAATCAGCAACTTAGTGAATGACCAGTTTACCTGGTGGATTGTTGGTAATCTTTTTCTCTTTTTCATTATTTCCCTATTGTCTCAGTGCTAATTCAGGATATATTGTAAAGTGCAATAGTGGACGAAAACAGTAACAACAACAAAATTACATTTGTATTGCGTCTTTCACGTCAGGAGGTCAGAAAGATGTCCCAAGGTGCTGAACAATTAGTGCTTCGGACCGAGCTGGGGTTCGAGATCGAGGAGGGTGACCGAAGGCACGGTAGAAGAGAAGGGTCTTGAGACAGGTCTTGAAAGAGGCAAAGGAGAGGACGAGGTGGAAGGCCTGCAGGATGGAGTTCCAGAGGGTGGGGTTCAGAGTGGTTGAAGGCCTGCCTGCCAATTGTGGGGCGGGCGTGGTGGAGGACGTTAAGCCGGCTGGAACCTGCTGAGTGGAGGGAGCAGGCAGATTGGTAGGGCATTAGGAGGTAGCAGAGATATGGTAAGGCCATGGAGGGCTTTGAAAGTGAGGACCAGGATCTTGAACTGTATCATCTGTGGAATGGGAAGCCAGTGGAGTTGGGCGAGGATGGGGGTGAATGAGTCGCAGAGCCTGTGCAGGAGAGGACACAGACTGCAGAGTTCTGGATGATCTGCAACCTCTGGAGGAAGGATGTGGGGAGACCGACAAGCAGTGAGTTTGCGTAATCGAGCCTGGGTGTTTTGACTGTGTGTATGAGGGTCTCGGCGCATGAATGCATGTATAATGCTGTCAGTGCCTGAGGTTTGGAGGTGCTAACGGGAGCCAACCAGGAGGGCCTCGGACTTGTTGATGTTCAGCTGTAGAAAGTTACCTCTCATCCAGGACTTGATGTCTGACAGACATTCTGGCAGGAGAGCAGTGGTCCTGGAGTCGAGGGTGGGGGCAGAGAGATAGAATCGTAGAATTATACAGCACAGAAGGAGGCCATTCAGCCCATCGTGTCTGTGCCGGCTCTTTGAAAAGAGCTTCCAATTCAGTCCCACTCCTCTGCTCTCTCCCCATAGCTCTGCAAACTCCCATAGTCCTCCCAAAATAATTATCTGCTTCTCTCTTAAAAGTTGTTATCAAATCGGCTTCCAGTACCCTTTTAGGCAATGCGTTCCAGATTCGAACAACTCACTGTGTGAAAACATTTCTCCTCGCCTCCCCTCTGTTTCTTTTAACAACTATTTTAAATCGGTGCCCTCGGTTTACCGATCCACCCGTCAGTGGAAATAGTTTCTCCTTGTTCACTCTATTGAATGCCCTCATAATTTTCAAAACTTCTATTAAGTCTCCTCTTAACCTTCTCTGCTCCAAGGAGAATAATCCCAGCTTCTCCAGCCTCTCCTGATAACTGTAGTCGCTCATTCCTGGTACCATCCTGGTAAATCTCCTTTGCCTTGACATCTTTCTTAAAGTGTGGGGCCCAGAACTGAACACAGTACTCTTAGCTGAGGCCTAACCAGTGTTTTATAAAGGTTCATCATAATTTCCTGAGTTTTGTATTCTATGCCCCTATTTATAAAGCCTAGTTTCCCGTATGCTTTTTTAACAGTTTTATCTACCTGTCCTGTCACCTTCAAAGATTCACTTATATGACTTCCCAGGACTCTCTGTTCCTTTATCCCCTTTAAGATTGTACCATCTGGGTTGTATCATAGAGTTGGGTGTCATCCCCTTTCCTCCTTCAAGGCCGGTCTCAAGACCTTTCTCTTTGACCGTGCCTTCAGCTCCCCTCTCGACTCTCTACCCCCTCCTCGCTCCCTCCCTTCCCTCACCCTGACCATTTCCCCCCTGCTCGGGTCCTGACCCAACTGTACAGCGCCTTGGGACGTCCTCCCGACGTGAAAGGCGCTCTATAAATGGAATCTTGTTGTTGTTGTTGATTTGGAAGTTGACCCCATGTCTGCGGATGATGTCACCAAGAGGGTGCATATAGATATTGAAAAGGAGCAGACCAAGGACAGAGCCCTGATGAGCTCCACACACGACGGTGCGGGGGCTAGAGGAGAAGCTGTTTGTGGAGAAGAAGTGGAGACGGTGTGAGAGGTAGTATCTGAACCATTCAAGCACAGAACCATGAAGGTTGAGGTGAGATGGAGGATAGAGTTGTCAATGGTATCGAAGGCAACAGAGAGGTCAAGAAGGATGAGGAAGCAGAGGAAACCCTGGTCGCAGATGGACAAAATGTAATTTGTCACTTTGACCAAAACTGTTTCTGTGCTGGGGGCAGCAAGGAAACCCGATTGGAGCGGTTTGTGAAGGAAGTGGCGAGAGAGGAAGGAGTGAAGCTGGGAAGCAACAATTTGTTCCAGGACTTTGGAAAGGAAAGGGAGGTTAATGATGGGGTGGTAATTTGAGTGCAGGGATGGGTCCAGGGAGGGTTTTTTTTTAAGGATGGGAGTGATGACAGCCGTTTTTAAAGGGGTGGGAACAGTGCCAGTAGACAAGGAGAGGATTATGACATCTGTGAGTATGGGGACAAGGAGGTGGAGGTGAGAGGTAAGGTGATGGGTAGGGATGGGGTCGAGGGAGCAGGTGGTCAGCTTCATGTGGTTTATGGTTATGGTGAGAGAGGAGGGGAAGACAGTTTTGAAAGTGTACAGGGAGGGGTGGGTAGGGGCCGTGGTGGGAGGGGGAGATGGGGAAGGTGTAGTAGTCGGAAGGACAGACACAGTTGAGCAGATCTCCTTGACTTTGTTTTTGAGGAAGTCAAGCATCTCCTTGCAGTTGGCGCTGGAGGAGAGGATGGGGGAGGCTTCAGAGAGTGATGGAGAAGCGGAACCTGGGCATGTCCTTCACCTCCGAGATTGTCTTGGAGTAGAAGGACGATTTAGCGGAGGCGAGGGCAGAGCAGTAAGTTTTGCTAAGGTCCAGACCGATCTGCTGATGGACTGGTAAGTTAGATTTGAGCCAGGTGCATTCGCCACCTGTGCCTTGAGGGAGCAGAGGTGGTTGATGTACCAGGGTGACTTCCGTGAGAAGGAGACGGTTTGGGAAGTGATGGAAGCAAGGCCATCGAGAGTGGTGGAGAGGGAATTGTGGAGGAGAGTGACCGAGGAGGATGGGTCATTGCGGGAGGAAGCCCAGAGTGGGTGGAGTTCTGATGACTCCAAGGCAGCGGAGAGGAAGTGGAGGGGGAGATTTTTTTCCAGGGGCGGTATGAGATGGAGGTAGGCTGGGTGGTGGTAGGGAGAGGGATTGAGGAGTTAAGGGAGATGAAGTAATAGTCCGAGATGACTTTGTCTGTGATGGTGAGGTCCGAGATGCTGAGGCCCCAGGTAATCACCAGGTCAAGCGCGTGGCCATGGACGTTGGTAGCGTGGATGTGAAGGGAGAGGTTGTGAGAGGAAAGGAGAGAGAGGAAGTTAGTGGAGATAGAGCAGGAGGGGATGAAGTGCAGGTTGAAGTTGCCTAGGATGAGAAAGTGTTCGGGGCAGAGGGAGAGGGAAGACAGAGTGGAGATGTCGGGGAGGAGGGTGAGGGAGGGTTTGGGGGGGTCAATAGACCAGGAGGATTTTGAGGGATAGGTTGGAGGGACGGTAGATGGTAAGGTGCTCAAAGGAGGGGAAGTTCCAGAGGAGGAAGGGGATAGGCCGAATGCGGAGCAGGAGATTAGAGCCACACCGCCCACCATGGTGGTTAGGTTGTGGGGTATGGTGGAAGGTGTAGTTGGGTGTGTGGCCTCGGTCAGGGAGAAGGTGTCGCCTGGGGTGACCCAGGTTTCGGTGAGGCCGAGGATGTCGATGTTTTCGTTGACAATGAGGTCTTGGACAGTGAGTGTTTTGCTGGAAAAAGGAACGGATATTTTGTAGGTCGATGTGGAAGGGAGGTGAAGCTGGCGGTGGAGGAATGGGTGAGAAGGAGGGAGGGTAGGGGGAGGATTGACACGGAGGGTGAGAATGTGGATAAGGGAGGAAACTAATTGGCCCTCAGGGTCTGAGGGGCCTTGCGGCGGAGGTGGAGGATGGGGCAGTCAGGGTGGCGGTTGTTGGACAGCCAGTGGTATCTGCCACGGTGGGTGCGAAGGAGGATTCGCAGCCTGGAGCAGAGGAAGGCTATGGGACGATCGAGCAGGGATAGGAGGCGGGGGGGGGGGGTGGTGAGAGAGAAGGGTTGAGCAGGAGTAATGGAGGGTAGGGCACAGGGGTGGTAGCATTTTTGGGAGAAGCAGCTCGGGTCGGTGACAGCCGGCCGGCAAAATGCGCACGCTGAGACTAAGAGCAGGGGAGGGGGGCAGCGTGGCATGGTCAGCCAGCTGGCATGGAACATGGGGCAGGAGTGTGAGTTTAGTGTGAGGCTAGACTGAACAGTGATGCTGCTGACAGGATGGTTTTACTGATATATTGTGGTGTGTTCTGCCCTTCTTGCTCTATCAGTGTAGATAGGAACGATTATTCTGTGCTCTGTGTAGGTATTGCTTCCTGCACCAGAGCATTTCCTCTGTTGATCGTAGATGGGAGATTTCAGGCAGATTGGATGAGCAGACAATATATCTCATCACTCAGTTCAGGATCTGCTGTAATCTCTTGATTTGAGGTTGCCTTGCTGTGCACCTAGCAGTGTGATTATCTACTCGGTACCATTTTCAGTCATTGTTTGTAACCTTTACCATTTAGTCAGCCTGGCTCAGTAGCACTTTTGAGTCTGATTCCAAAGGTTGTAAATTCACATTATCCATGCTGAAAACTCCAGTGTGGGAGGAGGTGCTGGCCTTCAGATAAGACAATAAAATCAAGGTCTGGCTGTTCAGTGGATGTTAAAGATCCGAAGAATGATGCACTGTTTGAATAAATACTGGAGAAGGGAGTTTTTCACCTCAGTCTCCAGTCCAGCCTCGGTGCAGCCCGGATAAAATTAGTCATTCACTTCATTACTGTTTTGGGGGATTTGCTGTATGCGAATTGTCTGTACATTTACCCAGAATTTACAGTTTATTGACATGAAAAACAGAATTTAAATGTAAGGATTATTTATTAATTTATTGATAACATAACCCTAACCCTAACACCCCACCCCCCCCGCACTGCTCTGGAGTGTCAGCCAGGTCTGAGCTCAAAGCCCAGATGTGAGCTTGAACTTCTGCCCCAGAAGCAACTTGAGATGTACATTTAATGTCCAAGCGGTGCTCCTCACTATCCATTCTCCAGACAGTGACAGAACCTTTCATTGTCCTCACAAAACCTTGGATAATTGCGAAGATTTCTTTCCTTTTGAGGATTTTCAGTCTATTTATTTCAGATCCTCACAGACTGGCAGGATAAAAAGGGAGACAAGCGGTTAATAAAATTTGGGAAGGAGCAGGAGCACGGACCACCACAGAAACACGGCAAACCCAAGAAACAGAAAATGGATGGGAAAGGCAGCCATGGTAGCGGCCCTGGCCCCGGCCGGCCCAAATCCAAAAATCTGCAGCCCAAAATCCAGGAGTATGAATTCACAGATGATCCTTTGGACGTTCCTAGGATCCCAAAGAATGATGCCCCGAACAGGTAGGGTTTGTGTTCTGTACATCCACTCTCTACCTCAGTAGCTCTGTGACCAGCTGATAGGTTTAATATAATACAAATCTACATTTATACATTGCTTTTCACATTGGGAGGATGTGAAAGTCTGAAGCACTTCATAGGATACAAGCCTCAACGGTGAGTGTCCAGCTCACTTCGCAGCAGAGATCACAGGATTGAGTCAGCCCATTTGATTTGATGCTTTCAGAATCCCTGCCCTTGGGGATTGGATACAACAAGAACAAGATTCCATTTATAGAGCGCCTTTCACGTCGGGAGGACGTCCCAAGGCGCTGGACAGTTGGGTCACAGCTGGATAGTACAACAGCAACAACAACTTGCATTTAGATCGTGCTCTTCACGAGAGGAAGCGGTTTAGAGCATTGAACGATGGCAAAGTTTAACCCGAGCCAGGAGAAAGGGGAGGTCACCGAAGGCACGGTCGAAAAGTGTGCGATTTAAAGGTGAGAAAGAGGTGGCATGACAGGGATTGAGACCAGAGTTCCAGAGGGTCAGGGTGCAGTAATCAGAAAGGGAAACCCTGATGAATTTCGCCTCCAAACCTAGGCCACTTGAAAGGTCCAAACTGAGATCAGCTAAAACCTGTTTGCAGGTTCTGGGCTTCGGTGGAGCCGTATTGTGCTGACATCACGAATGAGGAGATCCGTGTCCTGGAGGAGCTGCTGAAACCCCCTGAGGATGAAGCGGATTATTACAAGGTAATCCTATAACCTGCTTACCCCAGTTTAAAACTCCCAGACTCCGTTCTTGATAACTTTCTGCACCTGCCGTCCCACTTTTAGTGATCTGTAGATTTGTCCCCTCAGATCCCTCTGCTCCTCCACTCCCTGATTTATCTAAGTACACCCTGTACTTCCTGAAATGTAGCAGTTCACAATGTCACATTAAACTATATGTGCCACTTGTCTGCCTATCCCTCCAGTCTCTCAGTGTTCTGAAGTCGTGGACAATTATTTTCACAATTTGCTCATTCTCCCAATGTAGCAACATGTTCTATTCTGTTTCTAATTATGAAGAAGTGTACATCAGTGAGAAACTAGGTATTGTGCAGAGATTGGTAAGAAAGAACTTGTATTTTTATGCAGCTTATTTCTTTGAAATGTCACAATGGGCTTTTCAGTAATTACTGTGAAGTGCAGTAACTGTTCTGAAGCTATTTTGCACACTTTTGCAATGCTTCTTTTCCATTGTGTCACCTTTAGTGTTAACTTTAATGTCTCATCTGAAGGGTGGCACCTCTGACAATGCAGCCCACCCCAGAATTGCTCTGGAGTGAGCCTGGCTGTAAGCTCAAGCCGACGGCAAAGTCTTGAGAGTTTCACCAACTGAGTGTCTCCTGTTAGAGCACGGAGATTCAGTCGCGGAAGAATGATGCTGGGTGACTGGGGGCAGAGCTGGGTGTATGAATTGGCTCCAGTCAGTCACAGTTCACAGATTTCCTTCTTGCCAGATCCCACCACTGGGGAAGCACTACTCTCAGCGCTGGGCACAAGAGGACCTGCAGGATGAGCAGAAGGAGGGAGCGCGTGCAGCGGCTGCTGACAAGAAGAAAGCCATGCTGGGAACTTTAGCTGAACTGGACTCTAAAGGTAGTGGGTGGGGAGTGGGTGTGGGGTAAGGTTTCAGAAATTATTCCTGTTGGGGTAACTGCTGGTGTCTAACCAGCTGAAGCCACACAGCTTGAGAGCACTGTCCAGCAAACTTCCTTCTCCATGTCCAGCTGGGACCATGTTAACTACTTGCAGGGTTAACAGGAGCTGAGTGGGAGGATTCCCTGCCCCCAGTGACTAATCTACCCTTCAAAGTCCTGCTGATGATCCAGGCCCTGGAATATTACAGACCCGTCTGGCTCAAGAATTGGATGACCGAGATATTGCCAAACATCACCTTGGAGCCAGATCAACTCTTAAAAGACCCTGCTTACCTCCTTCCCCACCACGCAACCCCCGCCCGAGGAACATGTAACATTGGAGATACCATACAGCCTATACTGCACCTAAGGGGCTATTTGATGCCCTGCAGCTGTCAGCTGTATCCAGCCTATGTCCCAGCACAGCGGAATCCTGTACTCAGCTTGGTTTGGACAGCGCTCGGTCCATAGGGTAATTGCCCTCTGAAAATAAATAGCTCCCATTATCTGTTCTGTTTGTTTTATATCAGCCTGCAGTATGCGGTGAGGCCCTCTGTGTGCGTATGTATGTGTGTGTGTGTGCAGTGACGTTGTGTGTGTGTGTGTGCGCAGTGTGGACCTGTGTGTGTGTGTATACAGTTAGGACCTGTGTGTGAAGTGAGGACCTGTGTGTGTATATGTGTGTGTGTGCAGTGAGACCCTATGTGTGTGTGTGTGCAGAGAAGCTTTGTGTGTGCACTGAGGCCATGTATGTGCAGTGAGGCTCTGTATGCGTGAGTGTGCAGTGAGGCCCTGTGTGTATGTGTGCAGTGAGGGCCCATGTGTGCAGTGAGGCCCTGTGTGTGTGTGTGTTTGTGCATTGAGGCCCTATGCACGTGTTTGTGTATGTAGTGAGGCCATGTGCATGTATGTGCAGTTAGGCCCTGTGTGTGTGTGCAGTTAGGCCCTGTGTGTGTGTGTGTGTGTGTGTGTGTGCAGTTAGGCCCTGTCTGTGTGCAGTTAGGCCCTGTGTGTGTGCAGTGAGACCCTGTGTGTGACCCAACTGTCCAGCGCCTTGGGACGTCCTCCCAACGTGAAAGGCGCTCTATAAATGCAATCTTCTTGTTGTGTGTGTGTGTGTGCAGTGAAGCCTTGCGTGTGTGCATGTGTGTGTGTGTGTGCAGTGAGGTCCTGTGTATGTGTGCAGTGAGGTCTTGTGTGTGTGTGTGTGTGCAGTGAGGCCCTGTGTGTGTGTGTGCAGTGAGGCTCTGTGTGTGTATGTGTGCAGTGAAGGCCCGTGTGTGTGGGTGCACGCAGTGAGGCCCTGTGTGTGTGCAGTTAGGCCCTGTGTGTGTGTGTAGTGAGGCCCGGTGTGTGTGTGTGTAGTGAGGCCCTGTGCATGTGTGTGTCAGTTAGGCCCTGTGTGTGTATGCAGTGAGTCCCTGTGTGTGTCCGTGTAGTCAGGGCCTGTGTGTGTGTGTGCAGTGAGGCCCTATGTGTGTGTGTGGGTGTGTGCAGTGAGGCCCTGTGTCTTGTATGCAGTGAGGCCCTATGTGTGTGTGCAGTGAGTCTGTGTGTATGTGTGTGAGGCCCCTGTTTGTGTGTGTTTGTGTATGCAGTGAGGCCGTGTGTGTGTGTGCAGTGAGGCCCTGGGTGTGTATTGTGTGCAATTGAGGGCCCGTGTGCGCAGTGAGGTCCATTTTGCGCACGTGCATCAGGGACTGCGTGTTTGTGCTGTGAAGCTCTATGTGTGTGTGTATGTGTGCAGTGAGGTCCTGTGTGTGTGTGTGTAGTGAGGCCCTGTGTGTGTGCAGTGAGGCCCTGTATGTGTGTGTGCAGTGACGCCCTGTGCATATGTGTGTATTCCTCCTGACAGATGTGGACGCATTGCTGAAGAAGGAGCAGCACGAGCAGCCCGAGGATGGATGCCCCTTCGGACCCCTCACCCAGCGATTGCTTCAGGCTCTAGTGGAGGTGAGGCCTGCGCATACCCAGCTTCTGGGTGCGAGTCCCTGCCAATTCATCAATTAATTTACAGCCATATATTTGTGAATCTCATTGTACCAGTGATATATTTCCCAGGTGCTGTTGTAGCTGCTGTTGCTGCACCTGCTCACTTGCTCCTTCGCGGCTTTTTGTTTCTCTACATTCCAGGAGAATATTATATCTCCAATGGAGGACTCGCCCATCCCGGAGCTTACTGGGAAAGACACTGGGCCTGAGGGTGCTGGTACTTCCCCACGGAGTCAGAACAAGTCCTTCAGGTAAGTGCCTGCTGCCTGCCCCTCTCTCTGCCCTTCTCCCTGCCCACAGACTGACCCTCTCTTCACCCACTGCCTGTCGTGATGTGCTGGTTTGCCTGTTGCAGTGCTCCTCACACAAAGTCTCTGGAAGCACGGATTAAGGAAGAGCTGATTGCTCAGGGGTTGCTGGACTCCGAGGACCGTCCAGCTGAGGACTCTGAAGATGAGGTTCTGGCCGAACTCCGCAAGCGACAGGCAGAGCTGAAAGCACTCAGTGCGCACAATCGGGGAAAGAAACAGGAGCTGCTCAGGTAATAATAATCCTTGCATTTGATATAGCGCTTTTCACGTCTTCTCGACGTCTCAAAGCGCTTCACAGAATATCCTGTAAAGTGAATTGACTATATTTGGGGGCCAAACATGGCAGCCAATTGCATACAGCAGTGTTCTACAAACAATCGTGGATTGAACATGTCCCAATTTATTACTGTTTTGTTTTGGAGGGATTATTATTAGGTGTGTGGAGTAAGGAAACTTGCCCAAGGTTTCGCCCTCTGCCTGGAATTGAACCCAGGTCTCTCACTTGCAAAGCGAGTGCTCTAACCACTGAGCTACAGGACTCCACAGGTAGTGTCACCATGCCGGGCTCACTTGCGTGTTACGGGTAACAGTGCAGAACAAAGCAAGGCAAACACGGGGTGGGGGAGAATGGGCAGGCGGGCATCAGTGAAAATGTTTGGTCGTTTGCAGCAGATTTTCAGGTCATGTGGTCATTGAGTGCAGTGGACTCGTTTAGAGGCTGAAACCTGAAAGCGGTGGTGATCAGGTTGTTGCATGACCTCAGGCTCCAGGGAGGGGAAGGGTGTCTACAATCCCCGGATCACAGTCACATTGCGGGGGCACTGCAGCTCAGAGGTTGCCCAAATGACAATGCCGACCTTATTCTGATCCAGAGTTGGCAAAGAGGAGCTGAAGAGACAGGAGCTGCGACAGCGAGTGAGGATTGCGGACAATGAGGTCATGGATGCCTTCCGAAAGATCATGGCCGCCCGGCAAAAGAAACGCACGCCCACCAAGAAAGAGAAGGACCACGCATGGAAAGCGCTGAAGGAGAGGGAAAGCATCCTGAAGCTGCTGGACAGTTAAAGCCCAATTCCCTGGACTCTTGACAGCTGCTACTTTACAAAAATTAGTTCAAAGTTTTTTCGTGAAGTTGCCGGCAACACAGATGATGAACAGTGGCCGCCTGAGCTTAGGGCTCGGGCAGGCCACAGCCAGGCCTGGCCCCTGCGTGGCTATCTTCAGAGTACTGAACCGTGTCTGTCACCAGGTCTGGGTGTGGCAGTGTTTACCCAGTGCCGTGCCAGGGAGCCTGGTGTGTGGGTAGCTTGTAGCAATGCCACCAGATTTGCATGTGCGACCTGTAACGTGATGTTAACACTTCATAGTTTTTGAGAAATACATGTTTTCTGTCATTTAAACTCCTTGAATGAGGTTCCTAGAAACTTATCAATGACAACCTGGGATACAATTAACAGTTCAAGACCTGATATCTAGCCACCCGACCCCTCAGCTGCAGCTCCCA